CTGCCAATTCAGGAAAGGATATTTATGAAACCTTATCAGAAATCAGCAAGGCTTCACAAAATACATTTGCCTGAAATGCTCGCATCAGTGTAATCCTCTCAGCCTGTTAGAGCTATTTGATAGTGGAAGGCCATGTATTCAGCTTACTGAAAATTAATTACTTACATTACCCAGGTTTGCAAGGGGGGAAATGAAAAGGCAACCGAGAGGCAGCAAGGGAGATCAACCCTGTTCGCCAAGTTCATTTCTCCTCTCTTAGTATTTTCCAAAGAGTCCCTGGATTGAGGGGCAGAGAGAACTGAAAAATCGATTCATTTTGCTCTTATTGTATCTTGTAACGTATGTGTTTTCACAACATTTTAAGTAGGTCCTAACTTTCCAGTTCTTTTACCAAGTCAAAATTAAGTAACTAAACATGAAAAATGGAAATGTTTCAGGTTGGGGAGTAATTTCAGGAGTGAAATGAATGAATGAATGAAAGAATTTGGCCATTCAGAGTCTTTTGCTTTCCATGGCCAAGTGTTTGCTTAGGAAATTGGATATTTCGTGTTTTCTCAAGCTCTTTGTGAGAAGGTGCATGGTTTTGCTTAATAAAGCTACAGGGTGAGTAGAAACAAATGCTATACTTAGTCTGGAGGCTGTGGGGTGAGGGGATAATTCTGAATATTGGAATTTCAGCTGCTCTGAGACCCTACTTCGATATATTTTAAAAAGTGGGATAAATATCTAATTTTTATTAGAACACATCTCACCTTTATTTTGTATTTATAAGAATAATAATTTTGTCTGACAATATAGAAAATAACTTATAATCATTGACAGAAGGAGAGGGAGAGTGAGCATTATGGATAAAAAAAATCCACAGTAAATCAAAATCCCACTTTGTGCCACAATTTAAAATCCTTTTCTTAGCAGGGAAACAACTAAAGAGACAAATAAATTATTCCTGTATCTTTTTGTCTCTCTGTCTTTACACGTTGGGAATAGAAATTATGAAAAGGCAGCTAGCATTAGGAGAAGTAGTATAGTTATCCTACGAATGCTTGGCAGTTGGATGAAATACGTTTTATTCAAGTCTTATTCTTACTCTAATTTTTAAAAAAGGTAATCTTAAGAAAAAGCATATTTAGGAGAGCAACCTTGATTTTGCCTTAAGAACTTTACATTTTCAAAGTTACTTCTAACACAGTGGCAATAGGTATGTTTTGAAGTATATCTTGGGAGAGAATTAGTTAGACTCGTGTTGATATCTGAAGACTATCACCCACATTTAATTCATTTTGTGCTATTTTTCAATAAGTAATTAAAAAAGAATCCCCCTGAGTTGTTCTAGTCTGCTATTGTAGGCCATTTGCTATCAACTCAAAGTTCTCAATTAGCTCCAGTGTTGTTATAATTACCGGACGTGTTTTCAAACAACTTCCAGTTAATAACTGTTGGGATGAAGAGTCACTTTCTCACTGTAGTCTAGACTGTGCACGTTCATGCTTGCTGTGATGTTTTGACAATGATTCATTAACCAATAATAAGGCCCCAATTGGAACTATTAGGCATCAGTGCCTTGCTAGGCTTACCTTTTATTTTGTTCCTCAATATTGTCTTTTCTTGACTTGGTTTCTGGATAACTCCCAAGAGACTCCTTACTATACAAAAGAATATCATGAAGACAGCTGTCATTAAATCCAGCTATTTGTAAAAAAGCTCTCTTTAAGAGGATGCTCTTATTGGAAACTCAAGATGGAAAAGCACAATAAAAAGGAGGCTGTAATAAGAGACAATACATGGTTTAAAAGTCCTTTATTTGCACCAGCTCATAGAAATTAGGCAGATTAGGTACTATGTCTTTCAATGTTTCAATGGCATATATATATATATATTAAACATCTGGCCAAATATAAGCCCTCCCTCATCACATCACTGAAGTTTGAAGTTCCTTGTTATCTAATTGATAGATTGCTTTTTTACTTCTTGAGTATTTGAAACAAAAATGTGATAAAATTGATCATTGATATATTTGGGCCTACAAAAGATCAATATTGTTTTTATTAGTACGATTTATTTTAAAGGAGGAGCAAAAAAGTGTTTTGTCATTCTCTGGTTCTGCAAAATCTGCCCTTAGTATCATGGTAGCTTAGTGGTATTCTCTGGATCTTACTATTGTCAGATGACTTGCGCCAAATGAAAGACCATTTTGATCCATTCTTTGATCTCACCCTGAACTTTCAGCAAATCCATTTTAATTCTTTTGCCAAAGTCAGTTTACATGCCACTTGGCACTCTATAACGAATTTTGATGTCCTAGAGTCTCATGTACCTGGCTGAGACTTGCCTTAGGGGTAAGGATGCTGTGAAATGTTGTTTGATATCAACTGAATCACCTAATCTGTTTCAGCTAGGTGTGTGGGTTCTTGACAGTATGTGTGAAAGTATCTGAAGGATTTAACAATATTTTGGCTAACAAAAAAACAGTTATGGGAAGTTTTTTAAATGTCTTGTAAAAAAATTAGTGTCTCTTTTATTGGCCAGCATCCAAGTTTGAGTTCATTATATGTGTATTACAACTTTTATCACTATAGTAAGGAGGGTGCTAGATTGCACGTGTTAAAAAATTATTAGGTACATAGTAATGCATATTTTTAAAAAATTGAACTTGGCAGGGTTTGGAGGCTCAGCCTGTAATCCCAGCACTTTGGGAGGCCAAGGCGAGTGGATTGCCTGAGCCCACAGATTTGAGACCTGCCCAGGCAACTTGGCGAGACCTTGTCTCTACAATAAATAAAAAATTGGTTGGGCATGGTAGTGCGTGCCTGTAGCTCCGGCTACTTGGAAGGCTGAGGCAAAGGGATCGTCGGAGTCCAGCAGATCGACGTCGGGGTGCCCATGAGTGTGCCACTGCACTTCAGCCTGGGTGACACAGTGAGACTCCGACTCAAAAAAAAAAAAGAATTTGAACTTGATGGAAATTCATGTCCAAAATTGAAATTCATAGCAACTACATGCTTCTTGTCTACATAGAGAAATAAGAACAGCCTCCTTCCACAGACAAATAATCAAACAGTACTGTTCCTGGTGTTGAAACATGGGAATTCAGACCTGGCGAACCTCCCATTACTCTCAATAGGACAGATGGACATCAGAGTCCTACTCTTTCTTATTCTTTCTTAAGCTCCAATTCCTCTTCTGAAAAATTGGCAGTTGAGCAAGATAAACTTTTACTGGGCTCTAGATTCTTTTAAGATACACTAATAGAACTGGAATATTTTTAAAACGTGTCCTGTCCTTTTAAATATGAAAATATAGGAATATCTCTATATATGCATTCTTTTATCCTCCAGATTATTATTATAATCTTTTAGTTGGGATCTCTGTCACCCAGACTGGAGTGCAGTGGCACAATCATGGTTCATTGCAACCTCGACCTCCTGGGCTCAGGCGATACATATACCTCAGGCTCCCCAGTTGCTGGGACTATAGGCTTGCGCCACCATGCCCACCTAATTTTTTGTGTTTTGTAGAGATGAGGCCTTGCTATGTTGCCTAGTCTGAGTCTTGACCTTCTGGGCTCAGGCAGTTCTCTTTCCTTGACCTCCCAAAGTGCTGGAATTACAGGCATGAGGCACTGCTCCCAGCTTTCAGATTAATTTTAAATGTAAGGCCATTTAAGAAAACATTGAAGGTTATTTATTATATATCATATTTCTAGAAATATCTTCACATGTACTCTGAAGGAGGCTCTTCTTTTACAAATACATTTTAGAAGCAGTTTGGCTTGGGATTTTCCTGAGCATTAGCCTCGTATATGTTTTCCGAATACTACTGAAACATGATTCACCAGTTCTCTATCTCAGATGCTTGCCATCTTTCCAGACCCTCATCTGTAACTGCTTCCAGTTTTAGCATAAAGTTGTGTATAGGTAGCTTTTATAATACATCATGGTATATGTAAAACATAGGAGTAGAACCTCAAGGCCACATGTATAGATAAACAAATTTGCCCGAAATTGGTGTTAAGATTATTAATTTCTGAGGCCTGGTGCAGTGGCTCAAGCCTATAATCCCAGAACTTTGGGAGGCCGAGGTGAGAGGATTACCTGAGTCCATGGGTTCGAGACCAGCCTGGGCAACTTGGCGAGACTTCATGTCTACAATAAATTAAAAAATGAGCCAGGCATGGTGGCGTGTGCCTGTAGTTCCAGCTACTTGGAAGGCTGAGGCAGAAGGATTGCCTGAGCCCAGCAGGTCAAGGCTGCGGTGGCCATGAGCCTGCCACTGCACTCCAACCTGGGCGACAGAGTGAGATTCCAACTCATAAAAATATATATAGTATTCATTTCTGGATAGGCCTATCTAATAATGCAGTGTCCCTCCAATATAAGAAAGGAAAATTTAAAAATCCTCCAGTAATTATTTTAATACTGATAATTCTTATAGTGTTTCAAAAAAATTTTAAAAACCCCAACAAATATTTATTAATTTTTGCATTCAGTAGTAAACTCCAGAATGTTTTTGTCTTATCTAATATTTTTTGTGTGAAAATACACATTGGACAATATTTTAAGATATCTGTGATGGCAAGATACCCAGCAAATTTATAAACTTGGAGTAAGTAGCTTTGATAATGTGTATCTTTCAGAGCTGCCTGAGTTGGGTGTTTCCAGACTTGTTGCTCTGTTGTCTTGATGCTCTATTAGAACAACACTAGGATTTATTCTATTTGAATAGAAAGATTCAGATGTACCTTCATATTTTTTTTTTTGCAACTTTACATTTAAGCCCTTTGCCAAATTTGGAGATTTTAGTAATAGTTTTGAAATGCTGTCTCAAAACTTACTGGTGATTAGTTCACCTGAATTCACTGTAGGATAAACCAAGATGTTTATACCTTTTTTTTTCTTATTAGGAAAGTAAGAGAGAAACACAAGTAGACACATTTATTTCTGGATAAGTTCAAGGTTTTTCTTATGCTAAGGAAGAATATCACCTAAGAAATCAAAAGATAATCAATATAAAATCAGCTTTATTCAGCCCAAATTTATCTGATTTGAAAATAAATAATTAAAATAATTTCTTCCTAGAAGGGCAAATATGGAAGCATAATCTGATCAGGCCCCATATTTTAAATCCTGCAGAAAGTAATCATAGACTGCAGTAAGGTGATACCGATAGGTCACCACTCTCAATACAGACAGGTTGGTTGGAATTTCTCTTCTCCATGTCCATTCCCAGAGCGTTTTTGGTCTCCTCCCAATTGTTGCCTACACAATGTGAAGGACTTTAAAAGCAGCCACGGCCTGTTTTTCCCTTTCATGTCTGCTCTGCAGTATTTCCAGCAGTGAGATTTCAGGTAAATGTTCCTCTTTTTTAGCATAGGTTGATATTTTTGGTTCTTTTGGTGCTCTATCAGTCAGATTTGATGGTTTGGGTTTTGGGATGGTCTTAGCATATTCCAAAGCCTAAAAGCATAAAGATGAAATTTTATTTGAAGTGAGAAGTGAGCCTGAATTCCTTAAATTAAGTCTAGTTTGAGGAAGTGTTTATTTATAATATAAATGGAGACTTGCTATAATAACTTACTGAAACATTGGTGGAAATGGATATCAAATGGAAAGTGCAAGTAATGTGGTATAATGTACAGTTTAAACAAAAAAAACACTAACCACAAAACAATATGTAGTGAGATAAAAGAGTTGAAGAATGATATTTACAAGGCCAGGAGTGGTGGCTCATGCCTGTAATCCCAGCACTTTGGGAAGCTGAGGTGGGAAGATTGTCTGAGTTCACAGGTTCAAGATCAGCCTGGGCAACTTGGTAAGACCTCATCTCTACAATAAATAAAAAAATTAGCTGGGCGTGGTAGCACGTGCCTGTAGTTCCAGCTACTTGGAAGGCTGAGGTGGAAGGATCGCCTGAGCCCAGCAGGTCGAGGCTGCAGTGGCCGTAAGCATGCCATTGCACTCCAACCTGGGCAACAGAGTGAGACTCCAACTCAAAAAAAAAAAAAGGAATGATACATACAGTTGTGTCTTTTAGATATTTCTCTTCATAAAACTGAGTTTTGAGTGTTTGAAAATGAATTTCACATATTTTGATCTATTTAGTTTGCTGTCAAACTTCTCTTAAGAAGATATTAACAAACCTTTCTATCCAGTGAGGACTTGTTACAGCTTGAGACCAAAGATATCACTGTAGTTGATAAAAAATTGAGTCCTGTCGTGACACCAGCTATTTTTGTTTCTAGGCTCTAGAAAGTATTCGAAGTTGAAATTGTTTATTTTTTATTTATTTATTTTTTTGAGTTGGAGTCTCACTCCGTCACCCAGACTGGAG